CTCTCTCTCTCTCTCTCTCTCTCTCTCTCTCTCTCTCTCTCTCTCTCTCCTCTCCTTCTCAACCACATGGTGTGGACGGTTGTCGGATGCTCAGCGGTGGTTTACTCCTTCTTTCCTTTCAAACATTTATCATCCTTTTTCCCTCCTTTGTTTATTGCTCTCTAGTAACACTCCTCGTCTTCGGCACCTATTTATGACCTAGTTGTGATTCAAGTGCCGTGAAATCTTTACTGACTCCATTTTAATCTCACGCCCTGGGACCCCTCCCCCAAAAACAACAACAAAACAAACTCAACAAAAACAACTGATTAGCCATGGTCTCACAAGCATGCATAGCTTATTTACCTTTGTGACGTCAACATCGTCTGTTGCCTCATCGAGGTGTCTCAGTTGCCGGTAGAATAATTGTGACGGATTTTATTTCCAGCAATGATATCACTTATTAAAAGCTCACTTTAACACCAACTTTGTAATCCCCACAGTTCCGCGTGTTTTGCTACTGATGTGTTGAATCAAACACCCAGCCTACGCCTGAGCTACAGTAATGCATGTCGTATAATATGTCATATTAATTAGAACGTGTTTCGGCTTGGTGCGCGTCATCATCCAACCATCTCTCTCCTGTTGATGTCGGAAACTGGTTCCAAACACATGTGCACCCCGATCAATTACATGTAGGCCTGCTTATATCTATATCTCGTTATAGTTATTACCAGAAATAGGTAAAGTAAACGAAAAACAATCTTGATCGGTAGCACGGAGATCACATTTCGTAGACCAGCTGTGCAGATCTACCAAGTTCAAAATTTAAAAAGAAATAGTAAATTTAATGCTATATTTCTTAAAATAAGTACCTTTGGTATCTCTCCTAAAACATTTTGCGTTTTGAGGTAGAACAGTTGAGCAGCTTGACGAAAATTTAGCAGTTAAAAGAGCTGGAGAGTATGGAAAACAGAATTAAATGTGACGTCGGTGGCCTAGTGGTTAGGCTCTTGGACTTGCAACCATAAGGTCGTGGGTTCGAATCCCGTCAGGGGCTCGACGTTGTGTCCATGGGAAAGGCACTTTACACGAATTTTCCTCACTTCACCCGAATGGGAATGGGTACCCGGCTATAGACAGTGAAAGATCTTGTCAGTTTGTTAGTGTTTGAGTGCTTAATCAGCTGCTCGCACTGTATGCTTCCCGGGAAGCTGAGAATGTTTCGGAGTGTTCTATGGTCTGCTGGGGTAATAATAATATAGTATAAAACGCACAGAGCCTGCTGTTGAGCGGGGATATGCGCTTTACAAATGCTATCTATTATTATAATCTATTATTTCTCCTGTTAAGTTTTAGGCTCCTTAACAGCAGTTGTATTTTCTCCCAAAAGAGTACAGGATTTCTCGCGTTAAGTACGTTCTATCATCACCATTTCCTTTCTCACTCCACAAACAAAAGAAGTTCAATAGAAGTTATATTTTCTCCGAAGAATGTTCGTCCTATGGCGAGGATTTCTACTAACCTCTGGTGCCAAGTGGGGGCAAGAGACGAAAGTTTTCTCACTTGTTTGTAAAGTGTCAAACCCAGCTGAATGTCTCTAATAAAAAGAATGCTAGTCAACAAGCTGCAGGAGATCACGGACCAATTAGTCGCGGTTTTAAACTAGGTGAACTTTTGAATTTTTCATATCTCGACCCTAATTCATAGGTGCTCTTTGCGCACTTTGTATTCTCCCCAAATGACGTAGTTATGACGTGTTAGTTGGGATATTTCGTCTCTGCCTGAGGATTGTTGTTTGGGGTGAAAATATCAGACTTTCCGCCTTACACAC